TTACCTTTTTGAAAAGTTAAGAATTGCTTATATGATGGTGGTTTTTCAAGGTGGTTTTTATTCCAAGAGCCAGCCTCTGTGACAAGCAGGGCCTGTGAGAGTGGGCCTGGAGCTACAAGGTTCCAGGTTCCTGTCCTGGGTCTGACTCTGGCTTGAGTTCCCACCCTTTCTGAGTCCTCATTCCTCCCCCCACAACCCATCCCGGCTGTCATCCTGCTCTAGAAACAATGTACCTTGGTCGTTCCAAAGAGCTCTGACCACTTCTTTTCTAATTTGTTGGCATCCATCTGGGCTATGGCAGTTGGAGGAGGGGACAGTGGGAGAGGGTGGTGTGCGTTTTAATGCCATGAGTCATTTTCGGGTATTGGTACTTTTAGAGGCTGACTCTCTCTTACTCAGATTTCCAGAGAGAGGTTTTGCAAAGCAACAAAAACCTCAGAATCTCCTTGCCCAAAGATAAATGTAGCAGATCTTGCACATGGTGCAACATTTGATCATAGTATCAACTTGCTTTTGTTTTTCCCTTGAGATGTCCCCCTCCTCTAGCTTGCTCATGTTTCTGCCTTCTTGCTGGCAGGAGTAAGGACTCCAGTCCTCCTGCTCACCATCATCTGGGTCAGTTGCACTGCATTAATTGTTAGTGTAGTTGCAATAACTTCTAGGGCAGAGCTGGGAGCAGTGTGTGCACCTGTAATCCCAGCTGCTCAGGAGGCTGAGGCGGGAGGATCGTTTGAGTCCAGGAGTTTGAGACCAGTCTGGGCAACATAGTGAGATTCTGCCTCTAATATATATATATATATATATATGTTTTTCTTTCTTTCTTTCTTTCTTGGCATGCCCTGCTCCCCCTCCATCAGGGCAGAATTTTCTCCAAAGTATCTTCTAAATTTAGGTACATGACCTTTGTCTAAGCTATATCTAATTTGCAATTAGATTGATTTATTGATTGCATGTGAATTGTTCCTTTATTGAAAATTACTTTCCGATATAATCTAAAAAGCAGAACTAAGGCGATAGTTGCAGGAGTTTCCCAGTTCACACAGCATGTCCACACCCTTACAACAACAGAAACCACAAGACACCAGCCCTGGAGCAACCTTGGAGCATCCAGCCCACATGGCTTTGCATCGCTGGGAGCAGGTTTCCCATCACAAAACATAGATTGTTTCTTGGAAGGGCAGCACATTTTGTTCAGTCATTTTTTGCCTTATATGATTGGGTTTATACATTCCTTTTCTGACAGGCTATTTTTATGGGGGAAGAGGGAGGAGGTAAAAGAAAAAGAGAAGGGAAAGGGTCATGCAAAGGCCCTGGGGCAGGACGTGCTTACTTTCCCAGATCTTTCCTCCAGATAAATGCCTGCCTCTCTGAGGACTTTGCTTGTTCCAGATCAAACAAGTATTACCTGCCCCGCCAGTCATCAGCTCCCTCACATGACCTCTGCAGACATGGATACCATGGACTTGGTTAGTGTGCATCTTGGCTCTGGGAATGGTGGTACCCCATGAAAGAGTCAGCTCGCCACAAGGCTCCTATCCCTGATTACCAGACCATTTCCCACATGCCCCAGAACTGCCGTTACTCACGGATTGTTCAGGGGGCCAGGGAACAGATCGCTTTGCTGTGGTCAATGGGACCAAACATGGCTTCCAGCGAAGACAGAGCTGCTCCCGTGGGGACACACACGCATGCTGGAAGTAGCCAGGCCGGTGAGCACAGGCGTGTGGGTTGTGTCCTGCACAGGGTGCCTGCCCACACACCCGGAGCTGCCTTTGCTGAGCCATGTACCCTGTTTTTCTGGTTTGTGCAGACTCTTTGTCAACTTGCCAAACCTCGAGTCTGCTGAGCTCCATCCGGCAGAGATGCAAGTCTGCAAAAATCAACTTTGTGCACTAGGCGGGCTGGCCTGAGTGGGAGACTTAGGTGCTGGAATTCCAGGTCTTACGACCATTCCACTGCTCCTCTCACAGTGATGCAGGGGTCCCAGCCCAGTTCAGCCAACCACCCTCAGTGTCTTCCTTCCTTCCTTCTTTGCTTCCTTCTTTCCTTCCCTCTCTCCTCCCGCCTTCCCGCCTCCCTGCTTTCCTTCTTTCTTTCCCTTCTTCCCTCTTTCCTTCCTTTTTCCTCCTTGCCTGCTTTTTTAGTTCTTTGATGATTCTGGAAAATTTAAATACAGCAAAAGGAAGAGAATACATAAAAACATTTACAAGTCTGTACATGTGTGAATGAGCCTCTGCAGGACTTCTCACATTGATTCCCCCAGTCCTGTCTCCCATCCTGGCCTCCAAATCACATGTGGGTCTCCATTTTGTGGGCCTGTGGTCTTCCAGGGCCACGCCCTGTGGCCTGAGTCTGAGTCCACAGCTCTGGTATCCACTCTGCTTGTCTGTCACTGCCCCCAGACCTCCACACCCACCTCTCTAGCAAAGGCAAAACAAGGTCACATTTTCCTCCCTCTCTTCTCGCTCTCTTGTCTTCAGACTGCACTGCTCTTCTGCTGTCCGGATGACTAATTTCTTTGTCATCCTCACCCCACGCGGTCGTCCAGCTGCTAGAATCGCCTGCGTATGGTGCAGTCAGAGCTATCACACTGCTGGGGTGAGACTCGCTGGCGCCAAATCAGCTAGAGACCCAGGAAGACCTGAAGAGGCCCAGGAAGATGAGAGACCTATCTCCAACTCACCTGGGCACAGAGGACACAGCATGCTTCTGCCCCATGTGCAGACCGTTCAGTTGTCAAAGGGGCCAAACATGCTGCAGCTGTGGTGCCTGTCACAGCCCCAGTCGCACCCCTCCCCCACCCCATCAGGAAGGGGCTGCACCCTGTGGGGAGGCAGGCCGTAAGCATGTGTGGATCCCTCACTTTCCACCCAGTTTTCCAAATTCTAGAACTGCATCCCCCCCAGGAGGACCTTGAGTTCTTGCAATGAAGCAGTGGGGCCCCGGGTGCAGGGCAGGAGTGTCTGGAAAGGGCCTGCTGATCTGGAAGGCAGGATGGAGAGCCGAGTCCCTGTTCAGCTGGGGGCTCTTTCCTCACTCACTGCTCCATCCAGAATCCCTGAAAAAGTCCCCAGGCTGCAGCTCTCCCCATGCTCAGGGCCTGCCAGAATTCGTGGTAGGGCAGGCTGGAAACATGTGAGCACCACAAAGAAAGGGGGGTACATTTAAGAGGATCTATTTTTAAAAGGTGGTAAGTAATAGGATGGAATCAAGAAGGGAAATCTAAGAGGAGTTTTGGGAAATGTTTAAAAGGGAGAATTTGAGGAAAGCTGAGAAAGAAAATCTGGGTCAGTTCCCAGGATAGGAGAGTCATCAGGGATTCCTGTCTCCTCTCTTCTGAACCCGCCGAGGCTGGGAGGGGGGAACTGCTGCCTCCCCTGGGTCAGAAGGGGTCCAGAGAGCTTCCTCAGCCCAGCCTGGATGAGGCCCTGGGCATGGCGGGAGATCCAAGGCCCGGGGACTGCCCCTCTGTGTCCTGTGTGATGGGGCAGGGGCAGGAGGCCTGGCTAGGGCGGGGGTGGGGCAGGAGCCTCTGTTGCTGGGGGGAGGGGAGGCTCCTTTCCAGCTGAGAGTGGCTGTTGTGCAGGTCCTGGGCAGCCCTCTCCCCTCCCCCCAGCGCCCTCCCGCTCCTCTGGAGCCCAGAAGCATCAGGCGGCACAAAGCCTCCCACCTCACCCTGCCCTTCTGTGTGCCCTTCCCTGTGCGATGGACGAGGTGAAGGTCACTGCCAACAGGGTGGCTCTTTTGGAAGACATTCTCAAAAAGCCAGAGCCAGACACAGTCTGAGACTGGGAGCCACAGCCCTTAGGAACCTCGGGATGAAGGGGAGGGGTGGGTTCCATGGCTGTTGTGACGGAGGGGAAATGAGTCTGGGGAGAAAGGCTTGACTTTAATTCCTGAGGACGGAGGAGTGAGAGGGCCGCAGACCATGAAGACCATGACATAACAGCCGACCGACTAACCTACTTTGAGCTGCTGAGGGCAAATCACTGGGGAAAGGCAAACGGAAACTGGGTATTTGGGGTCCAGGAAGAGCTGAGTTTAACGACCAAACGCCAGATGGCTCCTCTGCATCCTGCAAATGTGCACTTTGCCAGATCTGTGGCAGTCCATAAAAAAAGGAGCCAGCTGTTCTGAGGGAACAGTGGTGTGTGTGAGACTGTGGTGGAGGGAGCCCCTCCTTGTTGGACAGGGAGACCCTCAGACATGGAAGCAGGCCCCACACCGTGTGCAAGAGCTGGGTGGTTTGAGGAGACCGGCCCTGGGATGGGCTAGCAATGGGGTCCGCGCAGCTTCCTCTAGGAGGGCTCAGAAGATGTTACTAAGGTCCCCTAGTCACGCCAGGGCAGGAAAACTCTTCCAGGAAAGCAAGACAAGTGTACTGTGGTCCTTGGCTGCCAAGAAGCGTCTGCTCTTCGGCCTACAGAAAGCCTTGGGCAAGATCACCTCCTAGCAACCCAGAGTCTATTGGCAGATGAGTGGATAAACAGCATGTGGTCCATCTAGATGGGGGAGCATCTTTCAGTCTCAAAAAGGAAGGCTGTTGTGAGCTCAGAGGCCCCTCGGATGGGATGCTGAGTGGAAGCAGCAGCACAGGAGGGCAGATGCTGTGTGGTTCCACTTCCCAGATGTGCATGGAGTGTCAGACTCAGAGATGGAAACAGGGCTGAGGGAGGCACATGGGGAGCAGATGAGGGGACAGAGTTGCAGGCGGGGAGGACAAAACAGTGCTGGTGCTGGATGGTGGTGATGGTGCAGAGCAGTGAAAGTACCTGATGCTGCCGAGTGGCACACTGGAAAAGCTGGTGCATTGTGTGCTATTTAGACTTTACCACAATTTAAATTATAGACAACTTTAAAAGATTCTTTTGCAGACCCTGTCCTGGCATTTCTTACTGGGAGCTGACCCTGGAGAGACCCAGCCAAGATGTCGCAGTTCTGGTTCCTGTTGCACTCTGACCTTGCTCCACACGATTAAGCCCTTTTTCTTCCTCTTCCAGAATTTAAGGGACACTGTGGAGAAGTGAGACCCAGGATGCAGCGTGGGCTCGTGTGTGTGCTGCTGCTCTGCAGAGCCGTCTTTTCTTCACCGGGCCAGGTGTGACCGCCTATCTTTGAGCACCTCCTTGAGCTATGACATTCCAGACCCCCCTCAGTGGGACTTGGAGGCTGCATCCATCCCAGCCTCAGGGTGGGACCAGTGTCCAAGTGGAGAGGCACAAGGACAAAGGGTCTGCAGAGTTGTAGGACACACATGCACTCCTGTTGTGCAACTGCAGGACACATAGGCATTCCCCTCTGAACAGGCACATGGAACTCAGGCCCGGCCTTAGTAAACAGCTTTTATCTCCACTCCGCGCCAGCGGTTGACTTCTTGGGAGCTGCTTCTAAAGAGTGTGTTGAATTAATTCACAAAGTACAGTTATCCTTTGGTGTCCATGGGGGATACGTTTTAGGATATTCGATGATACCCAAATCCAGGGATGCTCAAGTCCCTGATATAAATGGCACAGTACTTGCTTATAACCTACACACATCCTCTGTATCCTTTAGTCATCTCTACAGTACTTAGAATACCTAATACAATGCAAAAGCCATGCAAATAGGTGCAATAAGCCGGGCTCGGTGGCTCACTCTGTAATCCCGTGCCTTTGGGAGGCTGAGATGAGTGGATTGCCTGAGCCCGTGGGTTTGAGACCCACCTGGGCAACTTGGCGAGATCTCATCTCTACAATAAATCAAAAAATTAGCCGGGCATGGTAGCACACGCCTGTAGTTCCAGCTACTCGGAAGGCTGAGGCGGAAGGATCGCCGGAGCCCAGCAGGCAAGGTTGCAGTGGCTGGGAGTGGCCACTGCACTTCAGTCTGAGCAACAGAGTGAGACTCCAACTCAAAAAAAAAAGTTGCAATAATGTATTTTCCACATGTATTATTTTTTTATTGTTGCATTTTGTTGTTACTGCTTTTTGTTTTTGTTTTTGAGACAGGGTCTCGATCTGTACCCCAGGCTGGAGTGCAATGTTGTGATCATGGCTCATTGCAGCATCGACCTCCTGGGTTCAAGTGATCCTTCAGCTTCAGCCTCTTGAGTAGTTGGGACTACAGGCACATACTACCACACCCAGCTAATTTTTATTTTATTTTATTTTTCTTAGAGATGAGGTCTCACTATGTTGCCCAGGCTGTTATTGAACACCTGATATCAAGCAATCCTACTTTGGCCTCCCAAAGTGCTGAGATTACCGGCATGAGCCACCATTCCCAGCCTGTTATTTTTTATTTATTTTCTGAACACTTTCAATCCATGGTTGGCTGACTCCACAGATGTGAGACCCGCAGATACAGAGGGCCAACTTTATTTACAAAAGACAGTACAAATGCTTCAAGCCACAGCAGCAGGCAAGCTGCCCGTGTGCTGCTTGTGATCTAGCTCAGACGGAAGCATCACACACACTCTCCGAAAATGGGCATCACGGAAGGCCACACGAGCAACATCTCCACCTCTAAAGCAGGGCTCTAGAGAGGGAGCATCTGGGGGAGCCACACTTCCACTGCTCAGTGTGTAGCCACTAACCACAAGTAGCCATGTAAATGTAAAACTAAAATTACAGATCCAGTTGCTCAGTCACACTGGCCACATTCCTAGCACTCAATGGCCCATGCAGTTCATGGCTGCGTGTTGGATGGCACAGATAGAAAACACTTCCTGCACACTGTAAGCCACTCTGGCAGCACTGTCGGAAGGATGGGAGGAATCAGAGCAGGGGTCAAAGGAATAGACAGCACCTGGGCCAGCTCGCCAGGTGCATCTGATGGGCAGGTGTCTGGGACTTCTGACTGGGCTGCCTGTGTCCTCAGGACACCAGTGGTGCTGATCCTGATTCCACATCTGGTCTCTTGCAGGAAGTCCACACTCGATTCAGAAGAGGAGCCAGATCTTACCGAGGTGAGGTGATGCTGGTGACTGGAGGGGCTGTGGAGGTGGGGCAGGGTCCTAGTGCTTCAGTCCCTGTAGGGACTCATCTTCTCCCTACAATCCGCTTACCATTTGAAGGTGGACGCTTCCAGCATGGTTCTGTGAAGATGCCTGTGTCTTTATCCAGCAGCTGTGGACTGCAGATGGGCTCTGAGAGGAGCAGGCCTTGGGTGATCTCAGGGCACCAGGCTGTCAGGGACCAGCAGTGGCCCAGGGCCCTGATTGTACAGAGGAGACAGCAGAGCCAGGAGAGGGCACATGACTTGCCCAGGAGCAGAACCAGGACAGCCATGGCCATGACTGTCTGTGTCCCTGGGTCCTCAACCAGGCTGTGATCCTGCCACAGTCCACTCAATGTTTTTTTCCTTCTGTAGGTCAAATGGGGATAACTGCCCTGGGCCTCCTCACAGACGTGGTGTAGCCTCTAAGTCCATGTCTAGCATTGACTCTAGAAAGCTAAGGAACATTCCCATTAGGGTACCAAGAATAAAAAATGCTCACAGTTGGCTGTCTTGACTCTGATTTGAAGAACCCTAGGTCCAGCTTCAGGCCCAAAACTATCAACAGGGCCTCATCTTCCCTCCTTCATGACCGAGTTCCTTGGGTCAGGAAGAGTTTTCAACACCCTGTAAAATGTTAGTTTCCCCACAGTGAGTCACACCTGGACTCTCAGCACCCTCAGTGTTGGATAGCACAGCATTTGCCACAAGGGCATCAGCCTCAGCAGACCTTCACAAGGATTGAGGGTTTTATTTATATTTATAACGAACATATGTCACATTTTCAGTTAATTAAAAGCAAAGTCTTTTTCAAGTTGGCATTCCGGTTTGAAAAGAGAAAGAGGGCCAGGCACGGTAGCTCAAGTCTGTAATCCCAGAAATTTGGGAGGCCAAAGCGAAAGGACTGTCTGAGCCCTGGGGTTTGAGACCAGCCCAGGTAACTTGGCGAGACCTCATCTCAATGATAAATCAAAAAATTAGCCAGGTGTGGTAGCGCACACCTGAAGTTCCAGCCACTTGGAAGGCTGAGGTGGAAGAATCGCTTGAGCCCAGCAGGTTGATGCTGGGGTGGCCGTGAGCATGCCACTGCACTCCAGCCTGGGAATAGAGTGAGACTCTGACACAAAAAATAAAAAAAGAGAAAGAGAAAAACAGAAAACCAATATTCATGGGAATACTTGAACTCTTCATTATACCAAAAATAGTGATGGCAATGCCACATTTGCTGCAAAGACTAAAATGTCCATTTCCTTTGTTTTGGGTCAAAAATGCATCATTTCTGTGTGGTAATACTCATGTGGATGAAAAACTTTGGTAGGCAGTTGTACATGTATGCATATTTTTGACTCACTAAAATAAAAAAGTTTGTGGTTCATACTCATAATTCCAACACTTTGGGAAGCCAAGGTAGGAGCTTCACTTGAGCCCAGGATTTTTATACCAGCTTGGGCAACATAGCAAGACCCGTTGTCTAAAAATAAAAAATAAAAACTGTGTGTGATGGTACATGCCTGTAGTCCTAGCTACTCAGAAGACTAACGCGGGAGGATTGCTTGAGCCCAGGAGTTTGAGGCTGCAGTGAGCTGTGATTGCATCACTGCTCTCCATCCTCAGTGAAAGAGTGAAACCTTTCTCTAAAATAAGAAAATAAAATAGAATAAAATGAAAAATTAGAGGATTACTTAGTAAATGTATTGTGTAGATAAATTCTTTCAGAAGAAGAGCCTATCACAGTAAAAACAATAAAAGGGGTCTTTGGTGACAAGTATTTGGTGTTTGCTGTCTCCCATTACCACAAGAAAGGCAGACACAATGGAGTCTCTCAGGAGTGAGTGAGGGTTTTTCTCAGTGGTCCAGGGTGGCAAGGCTTGCCTTCCTAGCCACATCTTGAAAGGCTGTCTTGTCTCTTGTTGCAGCGATCTGCAGAGATGAGAAAACACAGATGACCTACCAGCACCATGAGTCGTGGCTGCGCCCCATGCTCCGGAGCAGCCGAGTGGAGTACTGCTGGTGCAACGGCGGCCGGCCGCAGTGCCACTCTGTGCCTGTCAAGAGTACGTATCCACCTGGATCCCATTTCGGAGGCCCAGACCCCAACTCCCGTGGTCCCAGCATTTTCATGTCTGCACAGGGAGGCTCCAGTCATGTTCTGCCTTAGAAGACTGGATGGCCTTAGCCACATGCCTCCACTAGATGAGCCTGTTTCCCCATCTGTAAAGTGTGTGTGGGGTCAGAGTCCACATGTCATGGTTTGCTGTGAGTCAAGGAGTTAATTTCTGTAGACTGAATGGAAGAGCACCTGGCACTTGAGAGCACCCTTAGACTTTAACTTACATTGTTCTTGGAGCTGCCCTGAAAGCACAGCCGACCCTTGGACAACATGTGTTTGGGCCACGCAGGTCCATTCAGACGTGGATTTTTTCCAACCAAAGGTGGATGGAAAACACAGTATCTGTGGGATGCGATACCTATATGCATGGCTCCACAAGACTGACTATGCAACTTGGGTGTGTGGGTTTGGTATGGGTGTCCTGGAGCCACTCCTGTGGACACCGAGGGCCGACTGTAATGAGGGTTTCCTGGTGTGTACTTGACAGGTTGCAGTGAGCCGCGGTGCTTCAATGGAGGCACCTGTTGGCAGGCCCTGTATTTCTCAGACTTTGTCTGCCAGTGCCCTGAAGGTTATCTTGGGAAACGCTGTGAAGTAGGTGAGTGGGAGGTTGACAGGTATGAGAGGGACTGAAATTCTTCTCCCAGGTCTGCCCAGGAAGAAAAGGAAGAGTGTGACAGCAGGGCCGGGAGGGGTCTGGGGACTGGGAAGGCTCCTCAGACACTGGCTGGGAACCACAGTGCCGGGCCCAATGGCAGAGACTTGGGTGTGACCCTGGAGTCCAGTTCTTCCACCAGGTGGCTGGGCACCCCTCACTGCCCGGCCTCCTCTGGACTTTGCAGCCAACTGGCCTCACTGGTCTGGGGGGTGACAGGCAGACGCGGGAGCCCCCTAAAAGGCTGATTGAAGGGGAGTCCCATGTGCAGCATCCCTGTCCCACTCCCCCTCAGATGCCAGAGTCACTTGCTATGAGGACCAGGGTATCACCTACAGGGGCACGTGGAGCACCACGGAGAGCGGAGTCGAGTGCGTCAACTGGAACAGCAGCGCGCTGGCCCGGAAGCCCTACAGTGGGCGGAGGCCGAACGCCATCAGGTTGGGCCTCGGGAACCACAACTACTGCAGGTGAGGGCTGCCTTCCCCACTGCAGGCTTTCCTCTGGTGAGAAGCTGCTGCAGGTGGAGACAGGGTCAGATCCGCCAAGGCTCCCCAGGGAGCAGGATGTATATAATAGAATCAAAGAAGCTTATCTTCAAGGGCTAGCTCTTGGCCGTGGGACTGGCAAGTCTGAGAGCCAGTGGCTAGAAACTCAGACAGGAGTCATTGCTGCCAATGTCTCCAGGCAGAATTCATTTTCTACTTTTGCTCTTAGGTTCATCCAGAGATCCAGGATGATCCCCTTTACTTAAAGTCAACTGACTGTAGGTGTTAGTTACATCTACAGAATACCTTCCCAACGCCTAAGTGAATGATTAAACACTGGGTATAACAGCCTAGCCAGGCAAACACATAAGACTGTCACATTCCCCCGTCAGCTCAGCACCCACCCAGCTCCTTAAACCATGCTCAGTCTCCAAGTAGAGATCGTAACTCGGCACGCTTGTGCCTAGCATGAGGCAGCCATCCAGTGGTCAGCCAGAAACCCACTACCCCCCTGAGATCCTTGGGCCTGATTTTTCAGAAACCCAGACCGAGACTCGAAACCATGGTGCTATGTGTTCAAGGCAGGAAAGTACAGCTCGGAGTTCTGCAGCACACCTGCCTGCTCCAAGGGTAAGTGGCGACCCACACCTTCCCCAGGTATCCCTAGGGACAGGCAGACAGTCCTCCCGCAACTGAGGAGAGAAAGGCATAGACTGGGGTTAGTCATTTTGGTGCAGATAGAAGAAAGGCAAGAGACTCAAGCCCATGCCCAGACTTGGGCTCTAACTGGCCGGTTGACCTTGAGCTGATCTCTTTGCCCTCTGACCCTGTCTCCTCATCCACAGAGAAGAGGGTGGTGCTGAGTCAGTGGTTTCCAGTCCTTTTGAGAATGAAGATTCTCCCATTTCAAAAAAATGTAATGGATCCTTCTCTTTCTCCTTCTCAAACCTTTTAATGTGAACAAACTTCTCAGACTGAAAAAAACACCAAATTACCAAAAGTTACTATGAATTCAGTGGTGCTTTTACAAATAATTACATTATTTATCACAACGTATAAAAGATATTTTTTAAAGTTCTAAATGTGCACACACAGAAGTCCCATGCACTGTGCCTGCAGGCCTACCTGTGACACTGGCACACCTAGCACTGGAGGCTTTACACTAGCTGGAAAGTATCCACACCAGCCCCTAGGAGCTGATCTAAGTTAGGGCTCACGGATCTGGGTTACCTCAAACAAAGGTCCCTTTTAATGATGGCTTATGCAGGGACGTAGCTTTGTCAATTTCAAATAAGGGAGAAAAGAGGGTAAAGTGAGGCAAACATGAAAACAGGCAGCACTCCAAGGCTCATGTTCTCTCTTCTTTCCCAAGCCCAACAAGCCCTTCAGGGCGCTGGCAAACACAATCTAGAAATCTAGATTGAAACCTAGAAATCTGGAATTCTAGAATCTAGAAATTAGGGACCCCTCACTGAAGCTCCTTGGTTCACTGCACTCATTAAGTGTCAACAAGGACTCTCTACTAACTTTCAAAGCAGCTCTGGAAATAGTCCCCACTACTGGGACGTAGTGCTAAGCCTCAACATACCCTTGGACTTCTCAGCACAGCACTATAAGAAGTCACATACTGCTGATCGGAGCTGGCAGCAGACAGGAAATCCACCTGCCATCTCTACGTAAAAGGACATGAAAGAGAAAAAGGGGCGGTGGACAGTGTCTGCTCTTCTCAGCACAGGCTGGCTGCTGCCAACTTCCCAGGCAACAGCTCCTCCCAAGCCCCATCCCAACTTGCCTGCTCCAGCATCTAATGGGTTTTGTGTGAGTCTGAGATTTCTTTTCTTCCAGAAAACAGTAAGGACTGCTACTTTGGAAAAGGGCTAAACTACCGTGGCACCCACAGTTTTACCTCGTCTGGTGCCTCCTGCCTCCCATGGAATTCTGTGATCCTGATAGGCAAAGTTTACACAGCATGGAAGACCAACGCCCAGGCTCTAGGCCTGGGCAAACACAATTACTGCCGGTAAGTGGCACAAGGAGTCAGGTCTCAGTAGATCACAGAACTGGGGTGTGGGGTGGGAGAAGATGAAATGCCTTGAGTTATATGACAGACCCAGGGGTGGGAAGGAACCACGGATATCTAATTACACCTGTTCACTTGCTAGAACAACACCCATTATGAAACGCAAGCTGTGCCAGCTTTCCAGACAGAATCCCAAGTTAGGGTCCTGTCCTGTCAGTATCTAGTCCTCATCTGTTCTGTCCTCACATGACACCTCTGCCCCAGTGAACAGTAAGCGTTTCTTCACAGGATAGTTCTCAGCTCCTCCCAACAGCCCTGTGGGATAGAATACCGTGTTACTAACAGAAAAGTAATGTTAAGGAAAAGTCACTCTAGGGCAAGGATCTGCAGCAGAGCCAAGTGAACCTGGGGTCCCCCCTCCCAGCTCGGTATTTTGGTCACTGGTCTGAGTCTCCTTCCATTGGTACAAAGTCTGTGATGTGGCTGAAAGCCTCTCTCTTATCACCCAGGAACCCAGATGGGGACACCAAGCCCTGGTGCCATGCACTCAAGGACCGCAAGTTGACGTGGGAGTACTGCGATGTGCCTCAGTGCTGTAAGGGCAGGTCCCTGGTCCCTCCCTTGGCCTGGTCTCACTGCGTCACTATCTCCTCAGCATTTTCTGAGTCTCCACAGCTGTCTAGTGCAGACTATGCTCCTGCCAGACTTCCAGGCCGGGGTGGGGGGGAGGAGTCTATGCTTGGGGGTGATGGTGCAAAAAGACAGAAGAGAACATACCAACCTCTTAGAATTCAGCAGGCTCTAACCTTCCTCTCTAATTACCTCTGTTAGTGGTGATGACAGTAGGAGTAATAAACAGGAGGAGGTTATCCACATACATGGCTCCTAAGACAACAAAGGTATCTAAGCAGTCTTCCTCTCTCCAGTTCACTGACTAGGAGTTAGATTCCCAGGTGTCATGTGGCCTGTGGCAAAGCTGGGCCTGCTCCCATGTCCTTGGACTCTAAGGCTTGCACTTCTACTGTGAACTCTGCCATGTTTCCCGCTGAACCCATTCCACCAGGGAAACCGTGCTGATGATGGGAAGAGAGAGAACATTCAAGTTGGTGCATGTCACTAAAAAATAAAACTTTAAGCCAGGCTCAGTGGCTCAGCCTGTAATCCCGCGCCTTTGGGAGGCTGAGGTGAGTGGATTGCCTGAGCCCGCGGGTTGGAGACCCGCCTGGGCAGCGAGACCTCATCTCTATAATAAATCAAAAAATCAGCTGGGCATGGTAGCGCATGCCTGTAATTCCAGCTACTTGGAAGGCTGAGGCGGAAGGATCGCCGGAGCCCAGCAGGTCGAGGCTGCGGTGGCCGGGAGCGGCCACTGCACTCCAGTCTGGGCGACAGAGTGAGACTCCAACTCAAAAAAATAAAAAAATTTAAAAAATAAAACTTTAGTTTGGAAATAGAGAATAGATTATTGCTCTATTTCTGTGAAAACACAGGCCAGTAGAGTGTTCCTCAAGGAGCTAGAGTCTACTGGGAAGGTTAGGCACAAGTCACCGTTAACTCACAACCCAGGTCCTCTCTAGAGTGTTCTCAGTGAGCCCATCAATAAACTCCTCAGAGCCTCACTGGTGGGGGCATCACAAAAACTTCTTGGGGAGGCAGGACTGGCCTGGGCCTTGAAGGATGGGTACAAGCGAGTGGGTGGAAAAGAAATGGTAGACATGCCTCAGAAGGAAGCAGCAATACTTCCTATTTCTTAAGTCAAGGATTGGCTCCAGGAAAAAATTAGAATGAAGCACAGCAGAAAGACCCCCCAGTTCTGGAGTCAAGCAGACCGGGATTGTAATCTAGGTGCCATTGTAACCTCCCTAAAAATTCAGTGTTGTGGGTTAAAGATGTCTATCAAATACTTAGCATGCCGTACCCAACAAGCAAAAGCTGTGGTTTTCACTGCCTTGGAGACCATTCCATCACCCTGATCCAAATTAGAGAAGTGCGTGAGGCCTGTAGAAGCTCGACTTACAGAAGAAACCAGAAGGAGGGGTCAGGAGCCGCTCAGGATCCCAGGTCTGACCTGCCTTCTCTGTCCCTGCCTCTCCCAGCCAGCTGTGGCCTTAGACAGTACAAGCAGCCTCAGTTTCGCATTAAAGGAGGACTCTTCGCAGACATCACCTCCCATCCTTGGCAGGCTGCCATCTTCTCCAAGAACAAGAGGTCGCCAGGAGAGAGCTTTCTGTGCGGGGGAATCCTGATAGACTCCTGCTGGATTCTGTCAGCAGCCCACTGCTTCCAGGAAAGGTAGGAGTGGGAAAGCCCCACAGGGTCTTCTACTCACTAAGGCCTAGCAGCCAGGCCCATGAGAGGAAGTCTCACTGCATGGGAGTACTCTAAGTCTGTTTCTCCGCCAGGTTTCTTCCCCACCACCTTAAGGTGGTCTTGGGCAGAACATACCGGTTGATCCCTGGAGAAGAGGAGCAGACATTTGAAGTTGAAAAATGTATTGTCCATAAGGACTTTGATGATGACACTTACAATAATGACATTGGTAAGAGGTCCAGTTCACACTCCAGATCATACCACACACCCCACACATGTGCACTCACACAGCATGTTTACACACGAGCCTCCTTCTTCCAGCCCCTGCCCCTCCCCTGTGGTCTCCCCCCTTCATACTGGCTCATGATCCCCTCCTGCTCCCCTCATGTCCCCAGCCCTGCTGCAGTTGAAGTCAGAGTCCTCACTCTGTGCCCAGGAGAGCAGCTCTGTCCGCACCGTGTGTCTCCCTGAAGCTGGTCTGCAGCTGCCTGACTGGACGGAGTGTGAGCTGTCTGGCTATGGCAAGCACGAGGCGTGTGAGTGGAGGAAGTCCCAGCCCATCCTGTCTGTGGGATGCCAGGGGATGCAGTGTTGACCAGAAGAGGAAAGGGGGGTCATGAGAGCTGGGCTCCAGCCCCGGTTCAGGCACTCACACAAGCTCCCTGCCCCCTTACAGTGAGGGTCCCCCACCACCTTCTTCACCACTGTGCAGGTTGAGCAGCTGTTTTGAAGAGCTTAAAGTTTCCAGATGGTTCTGTATAGGAAGTGGAGTATAGTGTCTAAGGGGATGCTAGAGCTGTATAGGCCTGCTTTCAAATCCTTCTTGCTTAGCTGCAAGATCCTGGACATGGATCTTTGTTTTGAACTGTTCCAGGTCTCAGTTTCCTCACTGGTAAAGTGGAGACAGAATTAGCTACCTAGTTAAGTGAAATAATATTAAACAAATGGTAGTCACCTGGGTAATCTGCCCCTCCCCCCAACCAGGAAACATTTGGCAGTGTCCGGAGACAATTTTGGTTGTTAGAGATCAGGGTGGAGGGTGAAGCTGGTGCTTTGTTAGGGAAGCCAGGGATGCTGCTGAACACTCACAGGATAGGAAGTCTCCAGTAAGGAGCTGTCAGCTGTGTTGCCACAGAGACCTGCTGCTTTGTAAATCAGAACAATAAAATACTGGCGCATCATAGGGTTTGACCCAATGCATGTAAAGACTTGATAAATACTATTGGAAAATTTGGCTTTTTCCCTTCAAAAGTTTTACAGACAACTTCCCCTAAAACCATAATACATTCCCCTGTCTCTTCCAGCTTCTCCTTTCTATTCTGAGCGGCTGAAGGAGGCTCACGTCAGAATGTACCCATCTGGCCGCTGCACGCCACAATACCTGTTTAACAGAACCATCACAGACAACATGCTGTGTGCAGGAGACACGCGCAGTGGAGGCGACCATGCGAACCTACACGATGCCTGCCAGGTAACCACAGCAGCTCACCATGCTCTGGGCACACCCAGGACAAAAGTGCTCCTGGCCAACAGGCTCTTAGCCAAGGAGAAAAGTTAAAGCCAGAATGGAGTAATTCCATCTTGGTGAGCCCTGGGATTCTAGTTGAGGCCTCAGAGAATCAGCAGCCTGAGACAGATAAGTCACCTAAACGTGAGAAATCAAAACTGCAGGAAACCTCCCCAGTGTCTGCACAGGAAACTCCACCTGATACAGATTTCCTTCAAGCCCAGGCAGTTAATTGACTACTGAAGTGACGGATAAAGTCACACAAGTAAGACATTATTGACTTCTGTAGGTGCTGACGAACTGGAGTCTGCCTTGTACAAAGAGGAGGAAAGGCCACTTACTGGGAAGCAGGGCATATACAATTTGTAAGAAATAAGCTTTATAAACTTACATTTAGCCCTAATACCCTGGGAAAGCAAACTCCCTAGGTTCTCTATATTGGCAGCCTCATCCAAGTAACAACTTACATTTTGGGCATGAGGGGACAGGTCAACATGCTGGTATTAAAACCTAAATGTAACAAGGGAAGTGCTGTTCCTCAAACACTTCAGTGCCCACAGTATGCCAGGCTCTCCATTGGCTGGGCGTAGGACACAGAGAAGTCAAGCCAGGCTCTTGGGCTGAAGGCTGTGTAGGCTTTGTTCTTACAAGGAAGTCATATCAGCGATTTCTGCTCCCCACCTCCTTCCTTGGTTCCTTGATAGTATTTGGCTTCCTCTTGAATGGCTTCTTCAGAAAACTCAACTGCAATACCTAGCTGATGGTCAAAAAAAGGTACCTGAGTGAAGCCATGATCTATCTACATGCATACAGTTAAAAACAAAAGGTCACTGTGATTCAATGTGACAAGGGCAACTAATGATTATCAAGAGTTTGACTAGTTGTCATGCCCTATGCTCTGTGCTGCCTGCACATACTTCAAACTCATTTCCACAACAGCCTTCTGAGGAGGATCATGTTACCTCCACTTTAGAGACAGGATGACTGAAGCATATCAGCCCAAGGTCACAAAGCTAGTACATGGGGAGTTCAACCAGGGTTTTTTGCAGCATGAAAATGTTAAGCAATTATCTCAATTCTACTTTACCAGAGCAGATACACTCTAATCCTTTAGAGCATCAAGATAACAGATAAAAATGTTCCTTCTCTAAGTACAATAAGCCCTCACTTAGCATTGTACCTGGGAAAAAATGGTTCTTGGAAACTTCGACTTGAAGTGAAATAGCATGATGAACTCCATTTCCCCATAAGTTAACTGATATAAACAAGAGTTAAGTTCCTATGGCATATTTGTGGGCACAAAAACATCAGCAAACTTTTAAATAAAGACCCCAAAACTTCTAATATTAAACACTGAAACAAATGTGAGCTATACATACATTTAAGAAAGACTAATAAAACCAAACAAGATCATTATGTACCCCACCTCTGGTGACCAGTGAGTGATGGCAGTCGCAGTGGTGGTGGGTTAGAGGAGTCAACATTTGCAAGGGAAACGTTGGAGCTCCCTTGCAAAGGTTAGGCGCTCCTCCAGCACCGACAGGCGCTCCTCCAGCACCGACAGGAGCTCCTCCAGCACCGTGTCAGTCAGGCATGAGCAAGTAAACAGGGCGCTCACTGGGTGCTCTCAAGCCACATCGTTCATTATCATGCATTTGGATGATTATCATAGACTAGATGAAATTGATTTTACAATGCGTTATATTCATTCATTTCCAACCTACTTGTTCCAGATCAGAGATACAGATGCCAGAGCCTCTCCCAGCAGCTCAGGCGCCAGGCATGCACCAGCCCTGGCCAGGATGCCATCACATCGTGGGCCCACTCACACACACCCACATTCACTCAGGCTAGGCCATGGAGGTGCATTGGCTAAACTAACATTCATGGGATGTGGGAGGGAACCACAGCATGTAGACAAAACTTACCACGCAGACATGGGAAGAACACGCACACTCCATGTAGTGGCCCCAGACAGGCATCGATTTGTTTTTCTCATCAGCATTATAACAAAATGATGTTTAACAGCACATTACTCGAGGACCTGCTGTACCTTGAAGAATACAACATGCATGCTACAAACACAAGCCCTAACTTTACTCCCATTGAGTCTGCCTTTTTGTCAACAGTTAACCTGTTCTCCCCTTTGCAGGGTGACTCAGGAGGCCCCCTGGTGTGCATGAAGGACAGCCGCATGACTCTGGTGGGCATCATCAGCTGGGGCCTTGGCTGTGGGCAGAAGGACATCCCGGGCGTGTATACCAAGGTGATCAACTACCTGGACTGGATCCAAGGAAACATGCGACCATGATCAGGAACACCCAACTCCCTGAACCAGATGTGACCTTCAGAAGACACCAGGGTGGCACACTCCTTTACATAGACCTCCCCATGACCACTACATGGTAGAAGCGGGGAAGACCTGAGGAAAGGGAGGATGGCATGTCTTCACAGGCACTTCCCACTGTGGAAGTTTCCAGGGCTTGGTCTCATTTTGGAATGTGTCTGTTGGATGGCAAGACAGATCAATGCATGCCGACCCTCCATGACACTACCACCCAGAGCAAAATGTGGGCACGCCAACCTGTTTTTAGCCAAAAGCCCAACCTCCTGATCTGTCACCATGAGAAGCTTTGGAAACGGGACCACAAAGATAAAAGCATGTCTCAATAGTTTAAAAAAATTACTAGATCCTTTACGAACGATGGACTGTATTAGAAATAGAATGTGTATTTATGTTCACAAGAGCCCTGCAGGGCATCAGTGAAGGGGTGGGCTGGCCAGCCAGACTGTGTTCCTCTAAACCACCCTTGCCATCGATCTCACCTGCCCCTTTCTCCATGCCACAATTCTTGGGAGGAATTCCTTTTGTGTACAGTGTAAATCTTCCTTTATCTTTATCAACTTTGTGTAGAGTGGGAGAATCATAGCATTTTAATAACTAGGCTTCAATATATTTATGTCAATCGAGTTTTTACTTCTTGTTGCCACAATCCTGTATTATACTATACTTAAATAATAAATTCAGATATATTTTTCACATTTTTTCAAAATCAGAGTGGAATGGCTTTGTTGCATATGCAGCATCCCACCATTTATTCATGTTATTCTTGTTCATTTCTAAAAACCACTTGGACTATTTGCTTCATCCACTCAACATACACGCAATGCCTGCTGCATACAAAGCAGTGGGCAAGGTGCTAGGGACAGGCAAAAGGGGAACAGGAATGCTTGGTTTGACAGGAAGATAAAGCATTTAGAGAAATGACAAGGTAGATCAGAGAAAGCCACAAAATGGCAGAAACTTCTTGGAATTCAGCTGCAGTAGGCATTAGGGAATCTTAAGGAAAACCCAGAATTAGGGAGGGCTTTCGCAACTGGGTGAGATCTGGACTGGGGACAGGTGAAGAAGGCAGTCGTGAGACCAAGGACTTCCCTGCATGGAAGTGTGAAGACTTGGAGGCCCAAGAGCGAAGTATGAGGAGGAATGGGCACTAGAGCTTGTCTGCAATGAGCTTCATGAAGGGGAGCACAGACTGGGATTTGAATTAAGGGGCCTTGAATGCCAAACTGCCTAATTCTGTAGGCAATGGGAAGCTATGGAGATTTGTGCTCAGAGAAGTGATGAGCTGAGCATGCCTTAGGAAAACCAGGCAAGGTGTGGTCAGAGGGCCAGTGCACAGGGGTGAGATTCTCTGGACAGTAACCACAGTAGGACAGAGGTAAAGTGGGGGATAAGGAAGAAATTCCAGCATGAACCTGCTAACACAGCAATGTCCCAATTGCAGGATCTGACTGGAAACTGGTATTTTAGGCCATTTCCTTCCCATTCTCTCTTGCTTTTCTGCTCTTCAGAAAAATGAACTTCCAGATCAGTGCAGCGCTTCCTAAGCAGTGCTGCCTTCTGCCTCTCCTAGACCCTTTCTTTCTACCAGGAGATGCCGCCCATCTTCCTGGCTGCTGCCTGGTGGCTCTTGCCATTGCTGCCACCCTTGTTCCAAGAATAAACCCACTGACGCAGGTGCCGCTGGTGGGGATGTGTACACACAGCTTCTCATGGAGGAATATGGCTGCAGTGTCTCCATCTCTCCAGGGGTTGTCAGAGCTGCTCAGTTTAGAGGCTCTTGGGAGAAAAGCTGTTTAAACTCACAAAAACCCAAGAGCTTGATGGGATGAGAGGGTGGGGAGGGACAGGGGAGCAGAGGATTTCCCTAAAATGCTGAAGTCCCTAGCCCAGTTAACTAAACGCAGGTCACAGAGACTGAAGTCACACACTTTCTGACTTCAGACTGCACACTTACAAGTTTCAGGATTGGCCAGGTGCAGTGGCTCACGCCTATAATCCTAGCATTTTGGGAGGCCAAGGTGAGAGGATTGCCTGACCTTGCAGGTTCGAGACCAGCCTGGGCAACTTGGCAAGACCTCATCTCTACAATAAATCAAAAAATTAGTTGGGCATGGTGGCACATGCCTTGGAAGGCTAAGGCAGAAGGATTGCCTGAGTCCAGCAGGTCGAGGCTTTGGTGGCCAGGAACGTGCCACTGCACTCCAGCCTGGGTGACAGAGTAAGACTCCAACTCAACAAAAAAAAACAAGTTTAAGGATTTTGTTTATTTTTATTTTTTTATTTTTTTGAGTTGGAATCTTGCTCTGTCGCCCAGGCTGAAGTGTAGCGGCATGCTCACAGCCACCCCAGCATCAAACTGCTGGGCTCAGGTGATCTTTCTACCTCAGCCTTCCAAGTAGCCAGAACTACAGGTGTGTACTATCATGTCCAGCTAATTTTTTGTTTTTATTGTAGAGATGAGGTCTTGCCAAGTTGCCCAGGCTGTTCTTGAACCCATAGGCTTAGGCAATCTCCTCACCTCGGCCTTCCAAAGTGCTGGGCTTATAGGCTTAAGCTACCATGTCCGACCAGGATTTTATTTTAGACAGATGTGTATCTAAGCCATTTCTGTAAAGCACTGTCTAAGGACTGCAGTAAGCAGAACTCCAGGGTATGGCACCCTAGCAGACATTCAGTCGGCTTCACCCCACTGTGGTATGATAAGTTTTCCTTCACATAGTCGGGTTAATGAAACCAGCTGAACTGCCGGGGAGGCAGGGGCACACCTCATCAACAAAAGTACTTGCATAATAAACATCTGTATACCTAACCCTGAATTGTACCCCACATCTTTAAAATAAAAAATTAAACAATAAAAAAGAAAGAAGCCAACTGAAGCAGGAGGCTCCAGGATGGAAAGGCAAAGTTAAAAGCCCAACATTCCTCCAGTGGAGCCTTGGGAACCAGACAGACAGAGATGATTGCTCAGAAGAGGCTCCTGAGTGACAGGACAGAGACCCAGTCCCACAAGACAGGGTCATATGAATTATACTGAAATACACTCGAGGGAAATACATCATACCCAGCACGGGTCAGGATATTCAAGACAAATGTCTGGAACTTATCAGGGAAGCTAATAGCTACAACGGGGAAATAAATATTTCATGATCTCCAGCTGGTTAATAAAACAAATGGATGCTAACAGAGCTGAAAAATGACAGACCTGAAGAAGGAGTCCAGGATGACCAAGCAGTTCATCTTAATAGGTGAAGACCTAGAGGGAATTCAGCTGCAGACACTACGTCCTCCCACAGCCCCAGTCATACCTGTTTATCACCAAGTGCATAATTTCAAAAGCCAAAGACACATAAATCCCGAACTTAGAAAACTGAAGAAGTTTGAGTTTCAAATTAAATTTCTTCTCAAAATGTCTAATAACTAAAAAGTAAGTATTTATTGGTGGCAGTGAGTCACCATCTACTGGCCACAGAAGAAAGTACATGTATACAGTAAACCCTGTCATTCCACAAGGGCCAAAACCATGCAGATCCAGGGAGAAGAGGTTGTAAACCTTGGTTGAGAAGACGGTGGAACACTGATAAGCACCAACACCTGCAGTTGGTGAACAAAAGTCTTCAGGTTGATACAGATGTGGAATGGCAATATAACCATCAATGTCTACACTTCACAAACTCCCCAGCCTTATTTTCCAAGAAACTTCTACTACAGTGAAGATGTCTAGTCCCTTGAAGACCTGTTTCATGCCTAAATTAATCAACCTGAGAAGCAGGTCAAGAGAATGGATAAAGTAGTAGAATAGACATTTGCAGCTGGAATGTTTAGTCTTTTATATCCTGGGGAAAATAACCTGATTGAACTGGATCTAAGCTCTTACAATCTTAAAAATGGCATCAACACAAACATCCCCTATCTTCCAGAGATAGCCAGAGAATGACTCAAACTATATATGTGGCGTTAAGTCTCCAGGCTGAAGAGTATAAAAGTAGTAAGAGTCTCCTGAGTAGATTAAACTCCTTACTAACTGTTTCTACTGAGGCCTGCATGGCACAGCATTATTGTTAGTACTAATAACAAAACACTTAATACACGAAGGACTGGTAAAACTCAACTTTATTAAAATTTAAACAGAGAGGTTCCTTCTGCACATGTTAAACACATATGGGCCTGAACACCTTGATGGAGACACCCTGCACTACTTAAGCTAACCTACACATCGCAGGTGGTGGCAGTGACATTCATTGCACTCCAGAGGTCTGGCTGCACACGTGACAGGATAGTTATTTCATGCATGTTTAGACCTACAGGTCCCGTCATTTAAAAACATTTTATTTCTTCCAAGATACTTCCCCTAAAATAGGATGAGCTCTAGAAGAAATAAAACAGCTGCACTTATAAACAAAACAAAACAAACAAACAAACAAAAAACATTCCAAGACCAAGATTAGTTGTTCCTGTGACCTAGGGAACCTTAAAGTCCTCCAGACCCTTCAGGAGAAGTGATACCAGTTACTTGGGAACCCACAGGCAGGCATTTCCCTTTCCATGGTAGGTGTGGGTATGGGTCTTTGCAGTCCAGGGACAATTCTGGAGTGACAGAGTATGAAACACATCTGCTTGGGTACAGCACAGTTTATCTCAGGAGAAAACAACAAAGCAACACTACTCTGCAGCGAAAATTAGTACTGGAAATAGGAAGATACAACTAGCAAGAAATCTGCACAAGTATTTGGAAACAAGCCTGCAGAGAAAAGTTCTAAGGTTTGGTGAGCATAAGTCTTCCTTTTCTCCATGCATGAAGCAAAGCACAATCATTCCTTAAGAAACCTCTTATACAAATATTTAAATAGTAATAGACACACTGAACTAGAATAAAAGTTACCCATCAGGAAAGCCTGAGGTATTCCTTCAGATGCCATGTTTCCTAAACTGGGTAGGTTATATCCATGATCAACACAGTCCATCTTCCTATAGCATTAATTTTATTCAAAGATTTAGGGGAATTTTTTTTTTTGTCTTAAAACAAAAATGGACTGGTAGATATCTACTGTTAATAAATACATGATAGAGTACAAAAATAAAAGTGTGAGGAAATGGAACTTCATCAAGCAGCTTCAAGGATCAACCATACCCATGGTGGTAAGTTTTCTTTTAACTTAGGGCTACTGCTGAAAAAGTTTCCAATGGGCAGATCAAGATCCAGAACTGACAAACCCAAGTGTGGACCCACTTGCTCACAGCTGTGGTCCACCTTCACAGGAAGTAAGTTGCCACTCTCCAACTCCAACACTGTGACATACAAGATGGCTGCACTGGAGGTTATGGGAGTGGCTTCTCTGAAACTCTCCTACTTTTTAGAAAATCCAGTGGAAGGATCAGGAAATAGGAAAAAGTCTGGTGAATTCAGTAAAGTGAAGTGAGTAGAATTGTCTTGGGATAGGGAAAGAAGCATTTTAGATAACCATGACAAGAGGCTGGTCACTTTCTCCCGGAAGATGAGAGACTAAATACTAAAAACTAGCAACAGGTAGCACCTGAAAGTCAGCCCGGTACCATCACTTTCTTTGAGGGAAAATCTGATTCTACTGGGGGTTCCATGTCAACAGTGAACTCAAATTTAAGAAGCCTCTAGTTCATTTCCAGAAGTACAAATGCCTTTCATATACAAGAGTAGAGGGATCAGAAAGGAACCAACTCAACCCTCTTCCTCCTGACTCTCTCAATGCAACCTGCTCACTTTTCTTGCCAATCTTTCATTTCCACACATCTCCTCACAACTCTTCTTTCACACTGTTTCCTCTTTCTTCTCCCTCACAGGTCAGATCCTTAACTGTTCCTTCCTTTCCATTGATTTTTCTTCCAATCTTTCTTTTTCTCTACTCTTTCTACCTTCAACAAAGTCTTTCATTAGCTTTAGGTAATTAAAGACAAGCAAGCAGCAAATGCCAGGCTTTTTCTTTGGCCACCATGTTGAAAACAGCCACACACAGCATAAGCACCCTACCCTACAGCACACACCTTGTTCTTGGGGGTTGAGCTGGTGCTGACTGGGTTTCAGTTCTGTCCACTCCTCCCTCGTGATCCTTTCCTCCCTTGGTTAGTTTCATGGCACTGAGGGCTAAGGAGAAAAGGAAGTGGGTGGGGCCAGGAGAGGACTGACCTAGGAGACAGGTTGGTATTTTTTACTTTTAGACAAGTACAGAATGAAAAATGTTCGTGACTGTTCTCTCTCCAAGCTCTCCCTTCAGGTTCGAACTTGGAACTTTCCAGCTTTGGTCATATATTTTATGCCCTTGAAGGGTTTGTACTTTTCTCCATACATATCCAGACGATTCACTTTGAGTCCTAGAAGGAAGGGAGGGAGGAAAAAGAAGATGTGAGAATTATTCAGAAGAGGGTTGCACAGCTGCTTCCATTCATTTCAACATACAGAGGGCAGTGGGGTGGAGATCCCTACAACAAGGAATTCAGAGAACATGGATTCTCCACTCTGGGGACAGACCCCAACAGCAAAAAGGGCTCCAATAAAAAAGCTGCCTATGAGAAGACTTGTCCCTAAAGTGGAAAGGGCAGAAAGTGATGTGCAGACTGAAATGAGGTTAGGACAAAATATGACCACTGAGTGGTTTTCTCAACTGATGGGACTGAATACCTGAATTAATAATAACAAAATAAATGAATTAATAATGAAATAAATTATAACTAAATGAATAATAAAAAGTAATGAATTATAAATGAATGCTTCCTCAGTATTCTCACTGTATCAGGCAAAAAAAAAATCTTGTATAGAGTTTTATAGTCTACTGAGTGCTTAAGATGGAAGAGCTTATCATTTAAATGAATTCTAATCACTTAAATCAGATAAGGTCTGTTGGTCAAGAAAAATAGGAACTTCATATAAAACTAAAGCCATTTCCTTTCTACCGCACAGGCTTGTTCTAAGGATTAAATAAGAAAATACATAATATGAGACTAAAATAGCACCTGGTACACAGAAAATGACCCAAAGTGGTACCTGGTGACTCTCATCCTTGGGTAGTACAGGCTGCAGTGACTGACCTGAACAGGCCCAATGGTTCCAAAATGGAAATACAAGCAAACATGAGCAAGGCTAGGAGAAAGGAGTGGAGACTACTCTTCTGAGTCATCAGCTGAGCACATGGAAGCATCATCTCACTTGGAAACACTGCAAGCTCAAGTGAACAACCCTAGGATGACCAACAGTGGTCTGTGGGCACTTGCATCTACCAATGTTGCTTTCTCATTAGTGTCTTGGACACTTTTATTCAGGTCATTTGGGCCAACTTCAAAGTAAGAATTGCAAACTTTCTACAAAAAATTTTCCAAAAGATTGCACATCAGGTAATGAAAGCAGATCTTGTAAATAGGGAGTCCCGAGAAGGCTTTCTGATGTCTGTGCTTTATGGGAGAAAAACATTTCAGTTCCTTCAAAGTCACCCAAGCTCTGGGTCACTTACCAGAAATGGCCAGCTGCTGGATCTTAAACTGCAGGTTAATTGTGGGGTTTTCATCTGGTTTGGAAGCTCCAGCCTGAAGACTCATGGTCCCCTTCAAACTTGGTAGCTTTTGGGGGTTTATTTTTCCTATATCCCAAGACAGCATCTTCAAAGAAAATAATAATAGAGAAGTGGTCTTTCTAATAAAATAATTACAGCAGAACCTTTCATTTGACATGTTGAGCTCTAACCTCAGGATGTCTGTTCACAATATTATAAGCTGCCTCTAGGGTGTTTTTCAATTAAAAATCCTGCTTGTAACCATAAATTATCTCAAAGGAGAAAACAATGCTCTGTTGCCTAATCTCGCCTTTCAAACAAGGTCTAGAGTCTCTGCAGAGAGTCCCTGAACAGGTACTTCTGCTGAGCATCAGCAACTCAAAATGTCCCACTAACCCCTTACCTTCGTGACTGGGTCAAACGTGTGCGTCCCCTGAGATGGAGTGAGGCTCATGTTCAGGACTCCTTTGGGCATCTGGCTGGTGACAATCACTCCTTCTATGGTCTTCCCCATGGTCTGCTTGGGTCCCACTGTTATTTCAAAGCGTCCAAGTGAACTACTATCCCGGAAACTGATATTATGTTTGACATACACTGGAATTGCAACCAGACTGGAAAAGAGAGAGACAATACACCTGTTTCATTAATGAACTGGGCAATGACAATCTTTCCTCCTTTCACATTATACTTTTTCTGCCCTGCTGGCAGCTTCTTCTCCCTTACTTATATCCTTACTCCATGCCTTAAAAAATTAACCCAGGAATCTAATTTTTTTTTTGAAAAGCTAAGATGCTGTCTAGTAAATAAACTCTTCTAATGACTAATAATATAAACCAAATCAAAGGGTATACTACAATGAGAAAGGCATAATGAACAAAAATGAAGTCATTATATCTCTGTGTTTTCATTTATAACATGTGACTAGTCTTTGTTTGTCCTTAGGAGAGTAACATTCATACCTCTTGGGCCTTTTATAATTTCCTGAGGGTGCTTTCAACTGACCTCATCTGATTCTCACAAAAACCTTATGAGGTAGGGAAGGCTGTCAATATTTGATGGCGAGAAAAGAGACTCAGAAAAGTTGCAGAATAATCCTGAGGTATTAACAGTTCCTAACATTTACTGAGTATTCCTATGTGACAGTCTCTATGCTGAATGCTTTCTATTCATTGTACACTTATCTCATTGAATCCTCCCAATAAATATGACATAGGAGCTCATTTTATGGGCAAATACTGATGTCCTTATACTAAACTGAGGATAAGTAACTTGCCCAAAGTGATATATTATAAGTATTGAAGCCGGGCTAGGTGGCTCAGCCTGTAATCCCATGCCTTGGGAGGCTGAGGTGAGTGAATTGCCTGAGCCTGTGGGTTCGAGACCTGCCTGGGCAATTGAGACCTCATCTCTACAAAAAAAATAAAAATAAAAAAAATTAGCCGGGTGTGGTAGTGCGTGCTGTAGTTCCAGCTGCTTTGAAGACTGAGGCGGAAGGATCACCAGAGCCCAGCAGGTCGAGGCTGCGGTGGCCGGGAGCGGCCACTGCACTCCAGTCTGGGCCACAGAGTGAGACTCCAACTCAAAAAAATAAAATAAGTATTGAAGATAGAGTTTAAGTCCAAGCAGTTTGATTCCACAGGCTTTGACCTCAAGCACTCTAGTATTTCCCTAAATGATTTACTCTACATTGCACAGGAAGGTACTAGGGCCCTAAGGCCTCCTGGCTCTCCCATCTGCATACCTTTCACCACACAATACTGCTTTCAAAGCCTTTAGGCTCCAAATTAGAGAGAATGTCAAGATCATTTTGAGTCTAGGGTACTGAATCCAGGTATGCTCAGATTCTAATTTGAGAAAAAAAAGTTCTAATTTGACATATAACAACACAAAATAGCAGCAAACTTAATGAGGAATTATTTGCATTAAGTGCTATTTAGATTCTCTTATTCAACTCTCATAACAAGATACTTTTATTATTTTCAATTTACAGATACAAAAACAGACACAGAGAGGTTAAGCAACTCACCTGAGGTTACTTAATTAGTAACTATAGAAGCTGGAATTTGAACTCAGGTAACTCTAGAGCCTCAGCTCTTAATCACTACAGATACTGTTTCCACATGCACATACACACACAGAGATTCCATTCTTAATCATAAGGGCTGCTTACTTCTGTGCACTGACATGGTAAGAGAGCAGGCGGAAGTTTCCATCAGGGGGGATGAAGGAGAGGATCCGCTCAGATTCCCAGCGCTTGAAACGAACACAAGGATGGAAGCTGACGTCATCCAACAACCTGGGGTTCTACATTACCAGGCGAGGAAAAGCAAGAAGGAAGAATTAAACACTCACGGTGCTTTCGGAAAAGTAATTTAGATGCTGTTTTTATTCACACACACACACACACACACACACACACACACAGAGAGAGAGAAATTCTACAGTAACTGATAGAAAATTCAAGACTAAGCTTTGTGGCTGTCCTAATTACTTCTTGTTCTGGTCTATTCTCACCGCTCTGTCTTTTCAAGAGCATTTATTTCTTATCCCAAGAAAAATCTCTGGCCCAGGATTTTACCATGAAAGAAAGTGTAAGGTCTGGCATTCCAGTCAGCTTAACACAGGCATCAATCACCCCCTGGATCTCAGCAGTAATTGTGGAACCTGAGACAGAGGACAAAAAGAACATAAGAGATTACTGAACGTTTCTCTGTGCTTCCCAATGATCTTATTTCCTCCCTACCCTCTTCCTCTCTCCCTTTCTTTCCTCTGTCCAGTCATCCAATTCATTTATCCAATCTATTTGTCCACCCTTCCAAACATTTACCAACTGCATATCAAGTATGAGACACTATGATGAAGTAATGGGCATAAAAAGATTAATGAAACAGTTATTAGTCTAACAGAGTTTTCAATCTAGTACCAGGATTGAACCGCACATCATTAACTTAGCCAATGGTTCAGAACATTTTCTGATAGAAACTGCTCTTCCTAAGGTCACCAATGAACTTTGCTGCTATACCCAATGGATACTTGTGGTTTCTATCCTTCAGGATCTCTGCAGCACCTGTCACCATCGATCACTTATGTTACCGATGTTCCTCCTCTTCCTCAGTGTCTTCTGCAGGTTTCCCTTTCTTTTTCACAATTCTGAACTTCTTTTACTTTACAAACTTTCCTTGGGTTCTTTTACCTACTTCCCAGGGTGTCAATGTTCATTTGTGGCCAATTATTTCCCACTCTTTTCACACTCAGCCCCACTTCTGCCTAATGGACATCTCCACTTGCGTGTCCCTGAGACACTCAAACTCCACATGTCAAAAGTGAATTTGTGATCTCATTCCCTGGACCTACTCATCCTCCTTTCCACACCTGCACAATGACCCACCTCTCCTGCTGCCTAAGCCAGAAGCCCAGAAGCATCCATGACCATCTCTACCTCCTCAGTCCCCTACCCAGTCAGGTATCAATTTCTCTCTCTAGGACTCAGTACTCTCATGTCTATTTCTCCCCCCACCCCACCTTGCTGCTACTGTGATATCTGTACTTTGGGCCTGGACTTCAGCAGCAGGTTCCCACCTGCTCCTGGCTACTCTACACAGTGGCCAGACAGATGGTTCTAAACCCCAAGTCTCAGCAAGGAGCCCCCCAACTTAGAACTTTCCCATTGCTGCAACTGTTCTCCTTCAAATGGTTTGCGTGGTTCTTCATGACAGCTCTGGCTGTCACTTTTTTTTTACTTTTTTATTAAGTTAAAACAATAAAATGCAAAAATCTTATGTATATAGCCCCGTGTTTTAAATACATATACATCTGTACAAGTACCAACCACATCCAGATCTAAGACTCTTCAGTATTCCGGCATGCTCCCTCTTGCATATCTTGGGCAATCTGTATCCCCCAAATGCAGACCTCTATTGCCTTAGATTCAACTGTGCCTGTTTTAAAACTTCACACATGTGATCACATTGCATATAATCTCATGCATCTGAATTTTTGCTCAATATTGTGAGATTCATTCATGTTGCTGGGTATATCAGTAATCCATCCTTTTTTTTTTTTTCGCCAGAGACAAGGTCTCCCTATGTTGCCCAGGCTGGTCTTAAACTCCTGGACTCAAGCAAATCCTCCCTCCTTGGCCTCCCAAAGTGCTGGGATTACAGGCATGAGCCACCATGTCCAGCCAGTAGTCCATTCTTTTACATTACTATATACTATTCCACTACATGATCACATAAAAATTTATGTATCCTCTCTATTGCTGCTGGACATCTGGGTTACTTCCAGTTGGGGCTAACATGAAAAGCTGCTATGTCTGCTTAGTTTCAAAGTCTCACATTTACTTTTCTCTTTTTATGCCTCTCAATCCAGTCATACTGAACTACTTTATTTCCTAACAACATTTTCCTTATCTTAGAGTGCTTGTCCACACTTAGCTCCTGAATCCATGCAGGTCCTAATGGCTTTTACACATCCTTCTGATGAGACGTCTCTCCCCTCACTGTCTGTTGCACTCAGGATGGGTGGGCACCTCTAGTATGCTTCACCCTTTCATCCTTCTGCCTCCCACACTAGACTTTCAGTAAGTTTTCTGTGGCCACAGACTTATGTTTTACTCGTCATCAAATGCCCACTATCCACACTGTGCTATGTTACAAGCTTTCAATTAACATGTGCTGAATAAATAAATTCAATAATGTGAAGAAAATTTTCCATACGTTTCTTTCTTTCTTTTTTTTTTTTAAAGACAGGCTCTATGTTGCCCAGGCTGGACTGCAGTGGCTATTCACTGCAGCTTCCAATTCCTGGGCTCAAGTGATGCTCCTGCCTCAGCCTCCTCAGTAGCTGGGACTACAGATAGGTCCCACCATGCCTGGCTACTACAAATTCCTAAGGTCTAAGACTTCTGGTCATATTTATCTAATTGAGAATAGATAGAAAAGAAGGCTCCCTGAATTTTAGTGATTATCACTTTAATTCTACCATTTTATACCAGATTGGGAGTTATATCAAGTTATAATAATTAAAGCACAAATTGGGAGTCAAATAATTTTTGAAAAGAAAACCTAATCAACAAGAGATTAGTTACTTCTCTTTTTTATTGAAGAAGTTCTATAAATCAAGTAAAAGTGTGAGACAAACACTGGTCTGCATTATATTAAAGTCTATCCCCTATAGCTAGCACAGTGCCTGACACAAAGTAGGCACTATATTAAAGTGAATAGTCTTGAATGGAGGTAAATTCTGATACTAGCAAGCACACAAAAGGGGCTTCTTGCCCCCTCCCCTCCATCCCTCTCTTGGTGGCACGATCAGGGTTCACTGCAGCCTCCTGGGCTCAGGCGATCCTTCTGCCTCAGCTTCTGGAGTAGCTGGGACTATAGGCATGAGCCACCACACCCAGCTATTTTTTTTTGTAGAGATAAGACCACAGTATATTGCCCAGGCTGATCTCAAACTCTTGGGCTCAAGCAATCCTCCCATTTCAACCTCCCAAAGTGCTGGGATTACATGGTGAGACACCATGCCCAGCCTATTTTCCTATTTCTGAGAACATATTAAGGCACCTACCTGATTTATCAATAATGGCATCAATCTCTTCAATCACATCAAAATAGGCCTCATTGTTGGTGTATTTCACCCCAGTCCGTCGCCAAGGCACCACTGACAGCTGCCCAGTAGGAAGTTGGTCACCCACATTGGTGCTTCCTGAGACAATATTACTGTACTTTAGTGCCAATTTGATTGTAATAACCACAGAACACTTTCCTAGAAGATTCGATGTGCCTACTATTAATGAACTCAATTGAAGTGTTTTTAAGACAGAAGCTGAGAGTTTTGCCAACTTCTTGATATAGGGTAGCCTAGTCTATTTTAAAACTCCTTGTCACCATCTGGTCTGCCTTCTCAAGCAGAATCAAGGTTAAAAAAAAAAAGTTACCTGAGAAACAGATATCATATTTTGGTTTTGAAAGTAACCTGAACTTAGTATCTCAAATTCCACAATAGCTTGCAGCTTAAATAATGTATTGGCTTTCAGTAGGGTTGGTATCTACATATTGATATAAAATTTTCCTGGGTAAACAGCATTCCAGTTTGAGATAGGTTCTTAGGTACACTTATGGTAGTTACTAAAATGTATATGATTTGTCTCATACCAGTAATGAAACTTGGAAAAAGAATACAAATTCGATCTCTTCTATACTAGAAAGCTGTAGATAATTCCTTTACTTGTTTCTTCCCTCATAGGCATAAAAAAATTTAATTCAAAGGTTTTATACTGAAAAAATAAAATACTATAACTAATTTAAATTATATGTCTTCCTTCCATTGCCTAGATCTTTCTAATCTAAAGAAATAAAGAATAAAAACCCATATATACAGCATCTTTATAAAACATTTCATCTTTTCAAAAGTGGCTCTCAAATATCTTTTTCTAGATTAAAGTGAGATACAGGTTTAAATAACTTAATACTTATAAATTATTCAGGCACTAACAAGGCTTTTACAGTTTATAATGAACTCAGGATATTGAAAAACTCACCAAACTTGTTTTCTTAAAAAGTGGTACTATGTATTAAAACATATCATCAAGTTACAATAAGTTTTTTTTTTTTTTTTGAGTTGGAGTCTCACTCTGTCACCCAGGCTGGAGTACAGTGGCACACTCACACTCATGGCCACAACAGCCTTGACCTGCTGGACTTAGGTGATCCGTCCACTTCAGCCTTCCAAGCAGCTGGAATTACAGGCACATGCTACCACGTCTGGCTAATTTTTAAATTTATTGTAGAGATGAGGTCTCGCCAAGTTACCCAGGCTGGTCTCGAACCCATGGGCTCAGTCAATCCTCTCACCTCAGTCTCCCAAAGTGTTGGGATTATAGGTGTGAGCCACGGCACCTGACCAAGTTATAATAATTAAAGCAGTATAGTGATAAGGCAGGAAAGTCTAAAAACAGACCAAGAATCCATAACGACAGTACAACAAAAAAAATCATTTTAAAACAGGAAAATGATAAATTATTAAATAAATAGTGCTAAGAAAACTAACAATTTTGAAGAAATAAATACACAGCCTTACTTATATGGTATATAAGATAATTTTCAAATGGATTAAAGAATTAAATCCAAAAATACTAAAAGAATTAGAAAAAAATATACTTTTCAAAAAAGATCTTCCCTTTTCTGAGATTAAAGACATTCTTCTAGGTTCTTCTAATAATTATAAAATTTGTTAATAAAACTCCTTAATCCGCCAGGCTCGGTGGCTCGGCCTGTAATCCCGCGCCTTGGGAGGCTGAGGTGAGTGGATTGCCTGAGCCCACGGGTTTGAGATCCGCCTGGGCAGCAAGACCTCATCTCTACAATAAATCAAAAAATTAGCCGGGCGTGGTAGCACGCGCCTGTAATTCCAGCTACTCGGAAGGCTGAGGTGGAAGGATCGCCGGAGCCCAGCAGGTCGAGGCTGCGGTGGCTGGGAGCGGCCACTGCACTCCAGTCTAGGTGACAGAGTGAGACTCCAACTCAAAAAAACAAACAAACAAACAAAAAAACTCCTTAATCTAGCTGAAAATTATTTTGTATACATTATAAAGTGGAAGGACTTAATTTTTTTTCCATACTGAAGCTGACTGACTTGATACATTTAACAACTGGCCCCTGGTCCACTGATAACGGTCCCTGATCCAAAATGATAAATGATCACATCTATCTATACCAAATTCCTATAAAAGCAAGGGTCTGTTTCTGGACTTTCTATTTTATCCAATGATCTACTTGTATGTTACTGAACCAATATTACATTAAAAAACACTACCAAAACTTCATATAGGTTGATATCCTTATCTGAAATGCTTGGGACCACAAGTGTTTTGAATTTTGGATATTTTTTGAATTTTGGAATATTGTATTATACTGGTTGAGCATCTCAAATTCAAAAATCTTAAATCTGAAAAGCTCCAGTGAACATTTCCTTAAAGTGTCTTATTGGTGCTCAAAAAGTTTCAAATTTTGGAGCTTTTTCTGATTTCAGATTTGGGATGTTCAACCTGTAATATATCTTGTATCTGATAGGATGTATTTTTTTTCTTTGCCCTTTTTAAATATTTTATTTTCACAACTCACTTAGCTCTTCTAATATGTCTACTCAATGAGTTTTTGTCTTGTGTACTATACAAACTTAACATGCTTTGATATTTGATGGGGAAAAACCATCTAATCTCTTCATAATTCTACTTTTAAGTTGTCCTGACTATTCTTTTACTTATTTATTTATTTATTTTGCAGGGAAAGTTGGAATCTCACTCTGTTGTCCAGACTGGAGTGCAATGGCAGGCTCCTGGCCACCACAGCCTCAACCTGCTGGGCTCCAGCGATCCTTCCGCCTCAGTATTCCAAGTATCTGGAACTACAGGCACGTGCTATCATGCCCGGCTAATTTTTTTGATTTATTGTAGAAATGAGGTCTCGCCAATTTGTCTCAAACCCATGGGCTCAGGCAATTCACTCACCTCGGCCTCCCAAAGCACAGGATTACAGGATGAGCCACCGAGCCCGGCTCTTTTATACTTTTTAAGATGTATTTTTTAACCAGCTTGTAAAATTCCATGAAAATCTTGTTTATGCATTAAACAAGACCCAAAATGCCACACCTTAATGAAGCAGAATGATTTGACTAAATCAATACATTTAAAATGTAGCTAGCCTGGCTTGGTGGCTCAGTCTGTAATCCCGCGCTTTGGGAGGCTGAAGTGAGTGGACTGCCTGAGCCCGTGTGTTCTAGACCCACCTGGGCAACTTGGCGAGACCTCATCTCTACAATAAATCAAAAAAATTAACCGGGTGTGGTAGCGCGCACCTGTAGTTTCAGCTACTTGGAAGGCTGAGGCAGAAGGATCGCTGGAGCCCAGCAGGTCGAGGCTGCAGTGGTTGCCCGGCCACTGCACTCCAGTCTGGGTGACAGAGTGAGACTCCAACTCAAAAAAAAATAAAAATAAAAAATAAAAATAAATAAAATGTAGCTAAACAACACATGAAAAACGCTAAATGACAAATGACAAATTGTGAGAAAATGTCTGCAATGCAGTATTCAAAATATATAAAGAACTCCTACAAACTATCATGTTTATTTCCAATATACATAATAGCCTAACATCTTTTCATAAATCCTTTCTGGAAAAGGAAAAATATTTCAACAACAAAAAATGAACAAAGGACACAAAAAGGTAATTCACAATAGAGGAAAAAGTCAATAAACAGGTGAACATGTTTTAATATCCTTATAACAAAAAAATTAGTGTGTGAATAACAAGATACCAATAAACAATCAAATTGCCAAGCTTTCTAAAAAATTAATAATAATAATAATAATAGGGTTGACTACAGCACGTACACATTGCTACTGAAAGTGTTAAGTTGGTAAAACTTTTCTGGAGGGTAACTCAGCACAATGCATTACAGACCTTATAATGTACATACCTCATGAAACAGCACTTCTGTTCCTAGCACTAAAAAGAAACTATTCTAGATGCACACCAAGATTTAAGTATAAGAATGTTAATCCCACCAGGTGTGGTGGTTCATGCCTGTCATCCCAGAACTTTGAGAGGTGGAGGCAACAGGATTGCCTGAGCCCAGAGGTTCAAGATCAGCCTGGGAAACTTGGTGAGATCTCGACTCTACAATAAATCAAAATATTAGCTGGGAGTGGTGGCACATGCCTTTAGTTCCAGCTATTTGGGAGGCTGAGACAGAAGCATTGTCTGAGCCCAGCAGTTCAAGGATGTGGTAGCCATGAATGTGCTACTGCACTACAAGCCTGGGCTGTAGTGAGATCCCAATTCAAAAAAGAAAAAAAAAATCAGGGTATTTTCTACATAAAAATATTACTTCAGGTTATACTCAAAGACTGTAAGGAACAAAATCAAAGCACCCAGACATGTGAGTGCCCAAAGACAAACATTTAAAACAATACACAACACTAGATTTGGCCATACACAGGACTGCAGCAGCTTCATCAGTTTCCCCCTCTGCCATACCTGTGATGGTGTTGACAACTGTTCGAAGGATAGTGGGAGGCTTTATGAGTTCTTTCAGGATGTTCGACTCGGTAGCCAATGGAAACCCATTGTCAAGCATCTCTTCCAGTACCTCATAAACCACAACCACATTGTCTTTGATCACTGGCTCTGAGCAGACTCCAAAATAATCCTGATGAAGATATAATAAACACATTTATCACTCAGAGGCTATAAAAAAACTAAAGAATGTTCCTAGAGAATAAGGATTTGTCTGTCCATATGTGTTTACTCACTATTTTGGGGATACTCTTCTACAATGAGGGCATGCAGCATAACCACTGTTCTCTTAGACAGCCTGGTTTGGTACAGAGTTTATGGTACTAGCGTCATTACTAGCTTCTTCTATATACTAAAGTCATTTAACCTCTTTGGGTTATTATACAGTACACAAAATTGAATCTTGATTATTACATGTGTTTATGAACAATAATTTGAAAGAATTATGCAAAATGACAACACTTGATACAACACAGAATTGTACATAAAAATCTTTACCCCTACTGTGGTGCTATTTCTACTTTTCTTATTTATTTTTTAGAGGCAGGGTCTCACTCTGTTGTACAGGCTAGAGTGCAGTGGCACAATCACGGCTCACTGTATCCTCAACCTCCTGGGCTCAGGCAATCCTTCTACCTCAGTCTCCTGAGTAGCTGGAACACAGTCATGCACCACCATGCCCAGCTAATTAATTTAAAAAGTGTTTTGTAATGCTATGCTGCTCAGGCTGGTCTCAAACTCCTGGCTTCAAGCAATCCTCCCCTTCAGCCTTCTAAAGTACTGAGATTACAGGCATGAGCTACCATATGCAGCCTATGGTACCTCATCCAGGCATGAGCTACCACAACTAACCTTCTTAACATTCATGCAGTGAATTGAGTTGAGAAGAAGAAAAAATGAAATGAGGGGGATGAGCTAGCACAACTGACAATTTCTTTGGATCATTCCTAAGATGCTAGGATTCTAAGGACTCTGATCTTTCATTAAAAAGGTTAAATTTAGGTACCAAATTATCTGAATTTCAAACCAGAAGACTTAGATTATAATCTTGTCACTTGTTAGATTAAATCGTGCTAATAATTTGGGTCTTGATTTCTTTTCTTTCTTTTTTTTTTTTTTTTAAGAGGGTCTCACTCTGTCACCCAGGCAGGAGTGAAGTGGTCCGTTCATTACTGCATCCTTTAACGGGCTCAAGTAATCCTCCCGAGTAGTTAGACTACAGGCACATGCCACCACACTCAGGCTGGAGTGCAGTGGCACGCTCATGGCTACCACAGCCTTGACCTGCTGGACTCAGGCAATCCTTCTGCCTCAGCCTTCCAAGTAGCTGGAACCACAGGTGTGCACCACTACACCTGACTAATTTTTTTGACTTATTGTAGAGAAGAGGTCCCGTAATGCCGCCCAGGGTAGTCTCAAACCCCTGGGCTCAAGCAATCCTGTTGCCTCCGCCTCCCAACGTGCTGGGATGACAGACGTGAGTCAATGTGTCCAGCTGGATTTCTTTTGTGGTGTTTTATAATCAGGATAATATCACTGGAGGCATAAGGATGTAAGAACTAAGCATGATTGGTTAAGTAATAACATATGTGAATGTACTTTGTAAACTATAAAGCAATATGTAAAATGCAATGCATGATAATAATGATTTAGAAAAAAATATTTGTGGTAGCCGGGCTCGGTGGCTCAGCCTGTAATCCCACGCTTTGGGAGGCTGAGATGAGTGGATTACCTGAGCCCACAGGTTCGAGACTCGCCTGGGCAACTTGGTGAGACCTCATCTTTACAATAAATAAAAAACTAGCCGGGTGTGGTAGCGCACACCTGTAGTTCCAGCTACTTGGAAGGCTGAGGCGGAGGGATTGTCAGAGCCCAGCAGGTTGAGGCTGTGGTGGCCGGGAGCGGCCACTGCACTCCAGTCTGGGTGACAGAGTGAGACTCCAACTCAAAAAAAAAAAAAAGAAATATTTGTGGTCATGCTGTTTCCCTTCTAGCAATGTCAGTCATGTTTTTACAGAACCTCTGAGAAGGTCATGCAACCAGATTGAATTCAGCCAGTGAAGGGAAATCTACCCTTTTTAAGAAAGCCCATTCTATTCATGAACAGCTTTGATTATTACAAAGTTCTTTCTTTTGCTAAACTGAAATTTGCCTCCTAGCTGTCTTAAGGAGCAAGTTTTCATAACAGCCTGCCATTATTTGAAGACAACTGCAAGCTTTCACTTCAGTTTTTTACTTCTCAGGGCCAAACTCCCAACATCTGTCCACTGTTAATGCTATAGTATGGTTTCTAGATTGTCTCAACATCTTTCTATTTATTTGATATTCAAAATTGAACAGATTCTATTAGATGTAGTCTAAATTACATCAGATAGTGTCAATTATCAGTGAGATTCCAATACCTAAGTCACTTAGGAGTCAGGAATGTATTCCTAAAACAAAAAAATTTTCTCTTAAAAAATGAAGATCTAGGCCAGGTGCAGTGGCTCACACATGTAATCCCAGCATTTTGGGAAGTGGAGGCAACAGGATTGCCTAAGCCAAGGGATTTGAGACCAGCCTGGACAACTTGGCAAGACCTCGTCTCTACAGTAAAAATTTTTTTTAAAATGAGCCAGATGTGGTGGCACATGCCTGTAGTTCACGCTACTTGGAAGGCTGAGGTGGAAGGATTGTCTGAGCCCAGCAAGTCAAGACTGTAGTGGCCTGATCATTCCACTGCACACTCCAGCCTGGGCGACAGAGTGAGACACTGACTCAAAAAAAAAAAAAGGATCTAAGGGGAAAAAAAAGTCAGATATTTCCTTCCAAGAGTGATTTTACTTTTAACAATAAACAAACACTTCACTAGGCTTTATGAACCAGGCATAATATGAAAAGAAACACTGGAAAGGAGACCTGCAATGTGACAAAGTGCTACAGCAAAAGAGCTTGCAACTCTGTACCTGGACCTCTTCTGTCATAGTCCAGTACTGGAAAATAACACTGCCAGAGAGGACACACATCAAAAAAGACATTAAGATCAGGGTACCTTTAACAACTGCTTCCACAACAACGATTTCTGAAGACCCAGACTTCCAAATTAGCAACTTTACTTTGCCTTCCCAAATTCCTTTGTGGTTTCAATTCAATTGAACAATTTTTCCCACTTCCTATCTTGTAATAAGTTACATAATACTGGTATGGCAATATGAAATTGCTGTTGAGTTTCACCAATGAGACTGTCCATCTTAGAATGGGCAAAGTATCACATACGGAAATCATAACGTGGCTCAGTCAAAGTAGTTTAAGATCATATCTACTGGCTTCTTTTGCCTCTAGTTCCTCTGCATATTAAGACTTAGAATGCTTGGGTTTTCACTGTGCAAAGGAGCTGGTATGCTGCATAAGAACTGGAATCCCAGAAAAACAGTATTATCAGGAGTGTTTGCAGGGAAAAACTTATAAAGCATTTTAATTATCTTGGGAATGAAAGTTGCTCTAAACATGTGACATAGGTATGAGTGCAAATGAAAGGACTCTTTCATTTGCTTTTTAATTTTTATCACAATGTTTGGGTCCTCATTCTCTTTTCCAGTTCCACAATTCCTGTATTCATGTGACTAATTCCAGATCTCACATGACATAGAGTTAAACCAAAGGGCCCTTACTTCTCCTGTATCATTTGAGTTATGCAAATAAACACAACAGTTAGAAGTTGAGTGATTCTGTTAGAAACAGACTCCATGGTCTGCATCCAGAGTCTGGGCAATCTTCCCTCCCATGTAACTTGCCCTCCCTTCTGTCTTTTCTCTGCCCAAGATTTTCAAATCTATTTCAGAAAAAAAAAAAAAAAAACCCCTCAAAATGAAAACTTTGCCTTGTAAAGTGTGTCACTTAAATTCTTACAGGTATGTAAGATTTCCCATCTTAGGTCTCCAACATGAGCCCATCACTGGCATTCACATGCTATGGACAACCACCCCCAACCCAACATGAAGTATGGGTTCACAAATTACCCCTGCCAGGGACAGTTAAGATAAGAATTACTTAGCTTTTTCTACTTTTTTATTTTCTTTTTCTTTTTTTTTTGTGTCGGAGTTTCACTCTGTTGCCCGGGCTGGAGTTCAGTGGCATGCTCATGGCTACCGCAGCCTCAGCCAGCTAGGCTCAGGCGATCCTTCTACCTCAGTCTTCCAAGTACCTGGAACTACAGGTGTGTGTCACCAAGTCCAGCTAATTTTTAAAAATTTATTTATTGTAGAGATGAGGTCTTACCAGATTGCCCAGGCTGGTCTTGAACCCCTGGACTCAGGCAATCCTCTTGCCTCGGCTTCCAAAATGCTGGGATTACAGGCTTGAGCCACCAGGCCTGGCCTACCTTTTTCTTTAATAAAACTTTACACACTTCACTTTTTTTTTTTTGAGTTGGAGTCTCACTGTGTCGCCCAGACTGGAGTGCAGTGGCTGGGCCTGGCCACCGCAGCCTCGACCTGATGGGCTCCAGTGATCCTTCCGCCTCAGCGTTCCAAGTAGCTGGAACTACAGGAGCGCACTACCATGCCTGGCTAATTTTTGATTTATTGTGGAGATGAGGTCTCACCAAGTTGCCCAGGCGGGTCTCGAACCCGCGGGCTCAGGCAATCCACTCACCTCGGCCTCCCAAAGTGTTGGGATTACAGGCTGAGCCACCGAGCCCAGCACACTTCACTTTTTTCAATGCCAACAATGGTTAGCATTGAGCCCACTATACAAAAACAATATAAAACTCTTAATTTGTCAGCAAAAAGTAAAACCAGAACTAAATAGACTATACACAGGCATATCACATAGGGTGGCTTTCTCACACAGCAGGTTCAAAAGTATTCAATCTGTCATTCTGGATGAAGGCAATTGAATGAACAGAAACAAGAATCTTATCAGATGGGAGAGAAAATGAGCAATATCAGAGTTTCATTATATTTTAAGTTTCTTAACCAAGGCTAAATACAACAGAAACAGAACTATAAAGACACTTAACAGTTTACTAAGAACCTTCCCACATTCACAAACCTGAAATGTGTCCACTACCCGGTGAAGAAACTCAATGACAAACAGAGGTGGGACCTCAGTCTGGATTACTGCCACAAAAAAGATCTTGTGGCGGTAAACACTTAAGAGATAATGATGAGGAGTAGGGATAACTGGAGGCACGTTTTCAGCTTCAGTGGCTCTCTCTTGCGCCTCAAAAAAGTAATCACAAACAGAACGGCTGACCACGCTTTTCCAGTGTTTCTCCAGGAAAATATCTCCAGAGGAGTTGATCAAGAAAAGACTATGAATCATGGCAGCGGCTGTCAGTGAGAGTGGAAAGCCTCTTTCAGTCTGAACGCCTGCCTCAGAACTCTGCAAATTTTCAACCCTAAAAACAAAAGAGGCTTTATTCAGTTCCATTCAACCAAAACACCCTCCCAGGACCCATCTTTCAAGACCAGGCCCAAGCTTTCCTCTACCAGCAGAGCCTTGAATTCCTAAGGATAATTATCAGCATCCCATCTGTTATCAACTTATACTCCCAGCTATGTCATCGCTGCCCAAATGACATCCATTAAAAATGCTACCTAATCCCTGGATGCCTGTTTTCTCAACTGAACCCAAACTCCTTGAAGGACCACACCTCCGGCTGTGTTGTCTCACTGCAAGGCAATGCCTCCCCACACACAGGAGTTCCTCCAACAACACTGAGTTGGATGTCAGGTTTTGGCTACAGTTCACACATACACAAGAAATGTGCAGTTTAACTCGGTGGCCACTAGCCACTTGGGGCCAGTGAGCACGGGACATGGAACTGGTGTCAACCGAGGTGCACTGGTGTGAGACACCAGTTTGTATGAAACAAACTGGTGGGTTTGTATGAAACAAAATTTCAAATACCTTACCACTAATTCAATAAGGATTATATGTTGTAATGTATCTTGGATATACTGGGTTTCATAAAAGGTATTCAGATTAACTTAACCTGTCTTCCTATTTGAATGTGGTTACAGAAAAGGTAAAATGTGTGTGGTTCGCTGTCTAGGTTCACTAGACTGAGCTGCACTGTGTGCTGAAAGTCACCCGGGGTCTTCACTGGCGCCAGCCAGCCGGGGCACTAGTCATGCACAAGGCTCTTCGTGGGATGCCTTTAAAGAACCCCCTTAGGGAGACCTCAGGTGTCCAGTCGCCAGGACAAAGCGGCAGTACGGGACCCGAGCTGTGGCCCAGCCATAAAGGCCTGCTGTCGCCGGCACGGCCAGATCCTTCCGCGCAGGGACGAGAAGGCAGGTGGAGAAGGAGAAGGGCAGAGGAGGGGAGAGGGAAGAGGCCAGGTGGCGATTCCCGCGCTGGTCCCAGCCCAGGCCAGGCTGACCCCGAGTGTGGCGCGGGCGTCAGGCGCGCGTAGGGGTTGGGGAGGCGCAGGGGAGGCGACCGCGCTGGGTAGCACACAAGCGTT